GCAACCTCCACCTGCCAGGTTTAAGCGATTCTCATGCCTCAGCCTCCTAAGTAGCTGATTACAAGCACTCACCACCATGCCCAGCTAATTTTTGTATTTTTAGCAGAGATAGGATTTCATCATGTTGGCCAGGCTGGTCTCAAACTCCTGACCTCAAGTGATCCACCCACCTGAGCCTCCCAAAGTGCTGGGATTACAGGCATGAGCCACTGCTCCAGGCCTTAAAGTATTTTGAAATGAATGTTTGCTTTCTTTTTAGGTGATATAACTCAGTAGTAGTCATCTCAATTTGTGGGTGGAAATAAAAAGATCATTCTCGTTTATATGGAATCTCACATTTACCCACAGCCAACCTGCCCCCTCTTTTGGAAAACAGGAGAAAGATATCCAAGAAAGGGATCTCTGATTGAAATAAAGAAAGAGGATCAGCAGTATCAATGAGAAGACTTCTAGGAGAGTGCTGCTGAAGGGGGTGCATTATGCTCTGAAGGCCGTTTGGGCGCTGAACACTTATGTGATAGGGGCACAGGGCAAAAGGACATTGGAGCAAGAAATTCAGAGGTCATGGTGAGACTGTTCTCACTCTTACTGGAATCTGAAATCTTGACTAATGAGAAGTTTGAGATGGGGGCTAGGGAGGTCGGACCGTCCAGAGGAAGACTGGCTTGACCGGGGGTTAACCCAGAGACTCCTTCCTCTGCTAGGCTGCTGCTTTCCCCGCCCTCACATCTGTCCTGGCCTGCTTCTTCCAGGAGATCTCCTGTGCTCACAAACGTAGCTCAAGTCTTGAAGTGCATCCAGAGGGTTTGAGCCTCCCCTCCCATGGTCAGATCGCTTCCCTGTCTGAATTACTTGAGATGCCATTGCTAGGGCCAGAGTGCCTTCACACTCTTCCAGACTTGAGAACCTTCCCTGAAACTTCATTTGTGTCCCTCTGCCCCTGGGTGCATGGGATTGATATCCCGAGTGCAACTGGGATCTTGTAGGTGCCCTTAGAGCATCAAGGCCTTATTAGAAATGAGGGTAGGGAGAGATGTGGGTGGAGTAGATTCTGAGTGTGGCAAAGATGGGTTAGAAACAGTTGTCATTATTAATATTCTCTGAGGTTAAGTGACAGAATGCTGGCACACTTGACACTCCCAGTGAACAGGCAGAAATATGAGTGTGAACAAGGTAAGTGGGAAGGAACAGGAGAATAACATCAGGTCACAGTCACCTTTCTTTTCTTTTTTTTTTTGAGACGAAGTCTCGCTCTGTCATCCAGCCTGGAGTGCAGGGGCGTGATCTGGGCTCACTGCAACCTCGGCTGCCCGGGTTCCAGTGATTTTCCTGCTTCACCCTCTGAGTAGCTGGGATTATAGACCCAAGACACCATGCCTGGCCAATTTTTGTATTTTTGGTAGTGACAGGGTTTTGCCATGTTGGCCAGGCTGGTCTCAAACTAGGCAGTCACCTTCTTTCAAAATCATTTTTTTTTGGTGTGGTATACAAAGATTTTTTGCTACAAATCCAGTTACCCATGATAAACTATACCCAGAAAGCCTTTAAGAATGGTTTAGGGCCAGGCGTAGTGGCTCACGCCTGTAATCCAAGCACTTTGGAGGCCAAGGCGGGCGGATCACCTGAGGTCGGGAGTTCAAGACCAGCCTGACCAACATGGTGAAACCCCGTCTTTAAAAAAAAAAATAAAGAAAGTTAAAAAATGAAAATAAAAGAATGGTTTAGGTCAGGCGCAGTGGCTCACGCCTGTAATCCCAACAATTTGGGAGGCCGAAGCAGGTGATTGCTTGAGGTCAGGAGTTCAAGACCAGCTTGGCCAACATGGTGAAACCCCATTTCCTAAAAACAAAAAACAAACAAACAAACAAAACAGAAGAATGGTTTATTAGGCTGGGGGCAGTGGCTCACGCCTGTAACCCCAGCACTCTGGGAGGCTGAGTTGGGCAGATGATGAGGTTAGCCTGGCCAACATAGTGAAACCCCATCTCTACTAAAAACACAAAAAAATTAGCCAGACGTGGGGGCAGATGCATGTAATCTGAGCTACTTCTGGGGCTGAAGCAAGGAGAATCGCTTGAACCTGGGAGGCGGAGGTTGCAGTAAGCTACGATTGTGCCACTGCACTCCAGCCTGGATGACAGTGCAAGACTCTGTCTCAAAAAAAAAAAAAAGAATGGTTTATTAAATCATATCCTTGCTCTCTTGGGAAAGGATATGTAAAATGTAACAACATACCATGAATAATAATTAGAAATAAAGGAATAAAATGGAGTCAGGAACGTGACTACAAAAGCATATCATAATGACTAGGCATGACCTGGCTGGCTGCAGATTTAACTTTGGGCTTCCTAGTAAACAACTCAGAGTGAGAACTGTGGCTGGTTATACAATTCACATAGTTGATAACATTGAAAGGCCAGTGGCCCAAAAGAAGTACAACCATTCCTGGAACTAAGACCAGAAAAATTCTTTGGAGAGCCTTCCGGTAAAAGAGTGAAATGTTGAATAATGTACTCAACTATATCCTTAGAGGAGATTCAGTGACAAGCTTCTTCTAACAGCATCTCTCGGTCTGGCAGTTCCTGGGACAGGGTGGGTAGAGGTGGTGGTTTCTTTGAAGTATCAGTCTGTGTCCATAACTTTGAAGAACCACAAACATACTGCCAGTTTAGGACATGTCAATGTTTTAGTGAGGAAAAAAATATAACAGTCTAATTTCTAGTAGGAGACAGCCCTGCCTTCAAAGCCCTAATATCACTGATTCCCTGCCAACACTCACACACACACACACACACACACACACACACACCCCTCTAAATTTTCAATCCATAGCTTGGCTGAATGTTATAATGTAATATGGGAGCCACTAATGAAGGAAATGAGGACCTGAGACTAGTACATAAATTGAAATTAAAAATTATTTATTCTTAAATAATGGTGGAGCCAGATTTTATGTGAGGCCTAAAGTTTATATAATTTTAGGCACTCTCTTTAAGGAAAAGAACATATAAACATAAAAGATGGTATGAAAATAAATATATGGAAAGAGAAATAAATCACAGCAAATTACTGAAGCCACGGAGATCTACGTCCTTTTCTTCTGAGATTAAACACTTTACCAGAAATACTTACAGAGAAACACTTCCTGATTGTAATCCGCCCTCCCTTTCTCACCAGGAACTAACCCCCAGCATTACTGGGGGCCTGTGCAAGTGAGGCCCCTCGCCCAAGCTGAAATTTCATTAATTCATGGCTATATGGAAAATCGCCTCAATTCCCATCACTAAGTTCATCATCTTTTCCTAGAAGACTAAGTGTTTACCTTCTCCTGACATTGCACACTTTGAACCGTTGTTGACAAGACCCCAAAGAAATCAATGCCTTTATTTCTTTGAAAATGACTTCATATCCATCTGTGATTAAAGACTTAAACATAAGACCTAACACCATAAATACCCTAGAAGAAAACCTAGGCAAAATCATTCAGGACATAGGCATAGGCAAGGACTTGATGACTAAAACACCAAAAGCAATGGCAACAAAAGCCAAAATAGACAAATGGGATCTATTTAAACTCCAGAGCTTCTGCACAGCAAAAGAAACAATCATTAGAGTGAACCGGCAACCAACAGAATGGGAAGAAATTTTTGCAATCTACCCATCTGACAAAGGGCTAATATCCAGAATCTATAAAGAATTAAAACAGATTTACAAGAAAAAAACAAACAAACCTCAAAAGTGGGCACAGGATATGAACCGGCACTTTTTTCAAAAGAAGACATATATGAGGGCAACAAACATATGAAAAAATGCTCATCATCACTGGTCATTAGAGAAATGCAAAGCAAAACTGCATTGAGATACCGTCTCACACCAGTTAGAATGGCGATCATTAAAAAATCTGAAGACAACAGATGCTGGAGAGGATGTGGAGAAATAGGAACTCTTTTACACTGTTGGTGGGAGTGTAAATTAGTTCAACTATTGTGAAAGACAGTGTGGCAATTCCTCAAGGATCTAGAAATAGAAATTCCACCAGGCGTGGTGGCTCACGCCTGTAATCCCAGCACTTTGGGAGGCCAAGGCAGGCAGATCACCTGAGGTCAGGAGTTCGAGACCAGTCTGGCCAACATGGTGAAACCGTGTCTCTATTAAAAAAAAAAAAAAAGAAATTCCATTTGACCCAGCAATCCCATTATTGGGTATATATCCAAAAGATTATAAATTGTTCTATTACAAAGACACAGGCACATGTACGTTCATTGTGGCACTGTTCACAACAGCAAAGACCTGAAACCAAACCAAATGCCCATCGATGATAGACTAGACAGGGAAAATATGGCACATACACACCATGGAACACTATGCAGCCATAAAAATGCAGCCATAAAAAACGATGAGTTCATGTCCTTTGTAGGGACATGGATGAACCTGGGAACCATCATTCTCAGCAAACTGACACAAGAACAGAAAATCAAACACCACATATTCTCACTCATAGGTGGGTGTTGAACAATGAGAACACATGGACACAGGGAGGGGAGCATCACACACTGAGGTCTATTGTGGGGAGCTAGGGGAGGGACAGTAGCGGGTAGGGATTTGGGGAGGAATAACATGGGGAGAAATGCTAGATATAGGTGATGCGGACGGAGGCAGCAAGCCACATTGCCATGTATGTACATATGCAATAATCCTGCATATTCTTCACATGTACCCCAGAACCTAAAGTGCAATAAAATACATACATTAAAAAAAAACAACAACAGAAAATGATTTCATATCCATCTGGAAGAAATAATAGCTCCCAGTCTCATTCTTTTTAAAGTGATCATGTGTCCCCATTCAGCACGCAGGGCTCTAAATTTGGGTATCCTTGGCTGTCACGTGACAGAATTTCCCTGGAAGTGTTTTGGGGCTAAACAAGAGGAATATGAGATTTGCCTTATTTTGTAAGGCAAACAGCAGGAAGTTAAGAAAGTCTGATAAATCTGAATGCATTTTCTGTACCATCTTGTCCTCTATTCAAATCAATTTTATGTTTTCTTCTTGAGATGAGGAGGCATAATCAGGTTTCCATTGACAAGCTGTGAAAATGTTGACTTCAGTTTTGTAACAAGGTTGAAAGCGGAAAAGCCAGATGGAAAAAAACAACCTCCAACCTGAAAAGTAAAAAGCAAAATGTACTTCTAGAAAAATATTGCATGTGACTTGGAGAAAAATTAGAATAGGATCTGCCTATTTTAAAATGAAACCTCAAGCATTTGGTTTAGGCTTAGGGTGTTTCCTCTTTTTTTCTTGTAATTTTACTCCGAGATTTAAGCAGTGTTGGCATATTTGCCACACAATAGGTTTCCTGTAGTAGGAGGAAAGAGTCATAGGTTGAGTTTATGTGAAAGAAGACAAGGCTCGCTGATGACTGTTTAACATAGAATGTAAAATAATCAGATTTTTAAAAAGTAAAATATCAGTTGAACACCGGAAGATTCCCAATACGCTATGGTGCCTTGTAGTAACTGAGTCCTTGCAGCTGCGTCCTGGCAGTGATTCCCTCCCAGGCCCCCAAAAGGTTGTACATGCCAGAGAACCAGATACATGTGAATGCCCAGTAGGGACAGGGCTGATCCAGGGCTGGGAGGCAGCGCTTGGGATCCTCAGGGCTGGTTTAACCTTCTGATCCATGGGTCTCTGGGGAAACATTTTGGAATTGACATCTTTGCTTGAGAGCTACTGATAAGAACATAGCAAGCTTATCCACAAATGTTTTTTTATAGGAAACTTTGTGTAGGAAAGAAATGGGGAGCAATACACAAGAAAGAAAGGAAAGCAAACGTAAGCTCAGGTCCAACGTAGGGAGAAGAAACATTTGCTAATTGTTCTGAGGCATACAACTACACTGAACTCTCAGTAACTCAGGATAGTCCCAAAGAGATCTGATCTGATTTAAAATGTAAAGTAGACAATAATTTTTAAAGTAAATATAAATTTATTATTTTAAGGCATATTCCTTAACAGTTAAAATAGCTGAGAAAACAAGTAGAAATCCTCTTGGGATTGCTTAAATGCCTAAAGGAAACAAATTGTAATGAGGTCAATTAATTATTTTTGTCTAAATAGATTCTGCTAAAATTACTTTAAGTATTTGAAGACTTTGTGTCCTTAAGAAGCTAAACATGATTTCAGCATTTGCTCTGAAAGTCTTATTTTTCAAAATGTTACTTTGGCAGATTTTGGCTTTCTACAGAAATTATTCTGTACTCTTTTAGCAGGGTGAGAAAGAATGTGGTCTTATTCCATGTGAGATAGATTAGTATACTGTAGCCATACATGTACTAGGTTTGTACTAGGCTCTGTACTGTGTATTGATCTCTTTTTTTTTCTGCTTTTTTTTTCCCTTTGAGATGGAGTCTCCCTCTGTTGTCCAGGCTGGAGTGCAGTGGCACCACCTCGGCTTACTGCAATTTCGGCCTCCCAGGTTCAAGTGATTCTCCTGCCTCAGCCTCCCGAGTAGCTGGAATTACACTGTGCCTGCCACCATGCCCGGCTAATTTTTTTGTATTTTTAGTAGGGACGATTTTTCACTGTGTGCCAGGCTGGTCTCACACTCCTGACCTCAAGTGATCCGCCCGCCTCAGCCTCCCAAAGTGCTGGAATTACAGGCATGAGCCACTGCACCTGTCCTGGATTTCTATTTGCGTTTATTTTTTTGGATATGTTTTTTGAGATTAAATTTTTTTTTCAATTGGTAATCTCCATCCAGTAAAACATTTAAAGAAATTGAAGGGCATGAGGTGAGATGTACATAAAATAAGTCTCCTTTCCATTCTTGCTCCCTAATCTTTTTCCCCAGAGTCCCCCACAGCTCACCAGTTTTTCATGTGTGCCTTCTAAGATATTGCGCTGAACATTTAAGATATAATATCTCATTTAATCCCATGTGGTAATTGACTACGTATTGTCAGCTTCATTTAACAGATGAGGAAACTGAAGCACATACTTGCCCCAGATTACAAGGAAGTAAGAGAACCAGGATCAAAGCCCATGCCAGGGCAGCACTGCTTTACATCCTCTACATTATCTTCACTCCAGATGACCACAAAGACTGGTCTCTACTTTCTTGTCCCCACCCGTCTTCTTGTTTAAACTCCACTCATGCTTTAAGGCCTCGTTTAGAATAATGATAGCATTTACTGAGTGCTCACTATGTGCCAGGCACTTACATACACTATTTAATTTAATTTTCATTACAGCCTTAGGAGGTAACTATTATTATCCCCATTTAAGAGAAGTGAAGTTGAGACTTAGAAAGCCACATAGCTAGTAAGTGGCAGCGTAACACTGCCACGCTGGTCTGATCGGAGGCCCTAGCCTCTCAGCTCAGGCCCATTTACTCCCAAAGTTCTCCTGGGCTTGCAGTGATTTCACTTCCAGGAATAGCCTTAGCACTTCTTATCACACAACGTGGTGCTATTTGCTTGGAAATTGCTCTGTATCGTTCTTTGGCAGTTTAGCCTTCTAGATTCTTCTCTTTCAACCTTACTGCCCACTCCTAGAAAGCAAAGACTCTATTTTTTTTATGCTCAGTCATAATACAACTGTAGAAATCCTACTGAGACCTTACAAAATAGAACAAGAAAATGGACTAATGAAAATGGAACACTTTAAACTTCTGTCTGGAATTATATCACTGGTGTTTTTAGCTTTCGAAAAATCAAATATATGTGCACTAGAAAAAGTGAGAGAGGAAGAAGGCAACTTGGTGAAGCGGTACTGCCTGCCCTTGCTCTCCCAGGGCTCATGGCCTAGGGTGTGTATGCACCAGGAGGCTGGCACCTGCCTTTTCTGGATGAGTCTCTATTCTGTGGGTTCAGAGTGCCTAAGTACCTGTCTCTGAGTGTGATTCTATTGCTTCAAGATGAATTTCTTTATTTCTTTCTTTTTTGAGACAGAGTCTTGCTCTGTTGCCCAGGCTGGAGTGCAGTGGTACAATTATGGCTTACTGCAGCCTCAACCTCCTGAGCTCAAGTGATCCTTCCACCTCAGCCTCCTGAGCTGCTGGGACCACAGACATGTGTCACCACACCTGGCTAATTTTTTTTATGTTGCTTAGGCTGGTCTGGAATTTCTGGTTTCATGTGATCTTCCTGCCTTGGCCTCCCAAAGTGCCAGGATTACAGGTGTGAGCCACCATGCCCTACTTCTTTTTTAAAAATACAACATTGGCTGGGCAAGGTGGCTCACGCCTGTAATCCCAACACTTTTGAGAAGCCGAGGTGGGAGGACTGCTTGAGTCCAGGAGTTCTAGACCAGCCTAGGCAATATAGTGAGACCCTGTTTGTATATAAAAAAATTTTTTTTTAATTAGCTGGGCATGGGAGTACATGCTGGTAGTTCCAGCTTACTTAGGAGGCGGAGGCAGGAGAACTGCTTGAGTCCAGGAGTTTGAGGCTGTAGCAAGCTGTGATCATGCCAATGCACTTTAGCCTGGGACACACAGTGAGACCCCATCTCTAACACAACAACAACAACACAGGGCAAGCGGGACGTGGAACTAGGTTCATATGCTGGAAGAAACTCTGACTCTATATCTTACTTTAGAAATTAAAGGGATCTTAAAATTGCGTGTACGGATTTTCTATTCTTTTTTTTTTTTTGAGACAGAGTTTCGCTCTTGTTACCCAGGCTGGAGTGCAATGGCGCCGTCTCAGCTCACCGCAACCTCTGCCTCTTGGGTTGAAGCAATTTTCCTGCCTCAGCCTCCTGAGTAGCTGGGACTACAGGCGCACACCATCACGGCCAGCTAATTTTTGTATTTTTAGTAGAGACAGGGTTTCACCATGTTGACCAGGATGGTCTTGATCTCCTGACTTCGTGATCCACCCACCTCGGCCTCCCAAAGTGCTAGGATTATAGGCGTGAGCCACTGCACCCGGCAGCGCATACACATTTTCTACCTTTGGGACCTAACCCAATCTAAGGTGGCTACATTGTACTTAAAGTTGAAGGCTTGTCCCTAGCCAGAAAAACTTCAGATCTCTTTAGCTCACACTCCAACATTGGGAAAATAAACTTGGAAAGTATTTTCCTTAGCAAAGAAAGATCTCTGTGTGAAATGACGTTCATTTTGTTTTCTTTCATTTTTTTCTTGATCATCAGTCTCCAGTGCCAATGTCTCAGTTTGCAGATTAACTGTAATTACCGGTGTGGCCTCTCCTTAGGAGAAACAGCAACCTGCTCTCTGATGGATCAATGTGGCATAAACTGTGATGTAAAAGGGACTCCATGCTGGGTGGAAGGTTGGACTAGAAGTTCTCCAAGTTTCCTCTCCAGCCTCTCCGAGGTAGTATTCCAACGGTGCTAAGGCCATTGTAAAAGGTCTTCTGTGTAATTTACGGCCTCTTTTTTCCTTTAACCAAACACATTAGATGATTTCCAGATGTCTCTGTTACTCCTTTTGGAAGCAGTGGGGTTCTGGATCATTAGGTGGGCTGTGAGGACTGCTGCCTGGGAATTGTGAGGACATATTTAACCTGCTGATCTGGAGTAGCTCCAGCTCCTTACTGGTCTTGCCTGCCTCTTGTTAGGTCAAAGCACTCACAGGAAGTGGATTAGTTGTATTTGAGGGGAATTATGTGTTGTTTGAAAAATATCTGGACCTCATGCCTGTAATCCCAGCACTTTGGGAGGCCAAGTGGGCAGATCACAAGGTCAGGAGTTCGAGATCAGCCTGAGCAACACGGCGAAACACTGTCTACTAAAAATACAAAAAAAATTAGGTGGGTATGGTGGCACATGCCTGTAATCCCAGCTACTATGGAGGCAGGAGAATTGCTTGAACCTGAGAGGCAGAGGTTGCAGTGAGCTGAGATTGCACCATTGCACTCCAGTCTGGGCAGCAGAGAGAGACTCTGTCTTAAAAAAAAAAAAAAGAAAAAGAAAAAGAAAGAAAAATATCTGGATCCTGGGGCCCCAAGCAGGGGTAGAGGTTTACTTTGCAGCCCTTCCCTGAAAGCATAGCAGGGATCTGGAACTCAAGGCCAGGGCCTTTGGGTTAGGAAAGCGGGGTACCAGGATGGGTGATGGATTGACTGGGGAGCACTGTCAGCTCCTGCCTTAACCTTTGGGCCTGCCCAGCAGTCTCTGTGGCACTGTAAGATCATGTTCACTTTCTTGTGACCTAGTTTTGGCTTTTCTGAGAAAAGGCTTTGTTGATCAGTGACCCCTACCCAGAGACCCTAAGAAAACGTGTTCTCTCCTTCTCAGATTTTATGCTACTCCAGGGGTATATGAAGCTAGGTTGCCGTCTCGTCTGATGACTCTCTTTCATGTAGCCCCATTTCCACGTGTTCTGTCTGCCTTTCACACTAAACTGTTATCTCCTGAAGAATAAGAACTGGATTTTGTCACAGGAGGTGGCTCATGCTCATGCTTGTAATGCCAGCACTTTGGGATGCTGAAGGAGGGCTGGTTGAGGCGAGGAGTTCAAAACTAGCCTGGGCAATAAAGTGAGACCTTGTCTTTACAAAAAAAGTTAAAGAATCAGTGGAACATGCTGGTGTGCACCTTTAATCCCAGCTACTTGGGAGGCTGAGGTGGGAGGATTGCTTGAGCCCAGGAATCCATGAGCCAGCATCCAGCCTGGGCGACAGTGAAACCATGTCTCCAAAAAACAAAACAGGCTGGCTCACGCCTGTAATCCCAGCACTTTGCGAGGCCGAGTTGGGCAGATCACGAGGTCAAGAGATCAAGACCATCCTGGCCAACATGGTGAAACCCGTCTCTACTAAAAATACAAAAATTAGCTGGGTGTGTTGGCTTGTGCCTATAATCCCAGCTACTCCGGAGGCTGAGGCAAGGGAATGGCTTGAACCTGGGAGGCAGAGGTTGCAGTGAGCCGAGATCACGCCACTGCACTCCAGCCTGGCAACAGAGCGACACTGTCTCTTAAAAAAACCCAACCAAACAAAAACAAAACAAAACAATTTGGATTTTATTCATCCCTCCATTCTTGGCTCTGAGCCTGGCCCATAGGCCTGTAAATTGGTGTTGGGGATCTGCTCGGGAACCTGCATGGGGACTTTTCCCATCTTCCTATACTGTCCTTGACTTTTTTATTTGTAACCTTTTAAATTGCACATTTTCAAATAAACAAAAAGTATAGAGAATAGTATAGTGAATACTCCTTTATCCAGATTTACCTTGATTGCTACACCTTGCCATATTTACTTCGTCGGTTTTTTTGCTCAAATTTTAAAAGTTAATTTCAGATATAATGATATTTTACCCCTAAATACTTATATATGGATCTCTAAGGATGTCTCCCCCACAGAACCATAATACTGTATTCTATATTATTATCACACATTATCACACCTAATAAAATAAATAATAGTTCCTGGTCTGGGCAACATGGCGAAACCCTGTCTCTACAAAATATAAAAAATTAGCTAGGTGTGGTGGTGAACACCTATAGTCCCAGCTACTTGTGGGGCTGAGCCAGGAGGATCGTTTGAACCTGGGAGGTCAAGGCTACAGTGACTCATGATGGTACCACTGCACTCCAGCCTGGGCGACAGAGCAAGATCTTGTTCCAAAAAAGAAAATAAATAAATAAAAGTAATGGCTCCTGGCTGGGCACGCTGGTTTATGCCTGTAATCCCAGTACTTGGGGAGGCCAAGGCAGGTGGATCACTTGAGCTCAGAAGTTCAAGACTAGCCTAGGCAACAGTGAAACTCTTTCTCTATTAAAAATACAAAAATTAGCCAGATGCGGGGGTGCACACCTATAGTCCCAGCTACTCTGGTGGCTGAGGCAGGAGAATTGCTTGAAACTGAGAGGCAGAGGTTGCAGTGGGCCATAATCATGCCACTGCACTCCAGCTTGGGTGACAGAGAAAGACCCGGTCTCAAAACTAACAACAACAAAAAAGATCCGAAATATCAACTGCCCTCAGCAGGTCTTTTATAACTGGTTTATTCAAACCAGAAGCTTCTCAGGCCACATATTGCATTTAATTGTTTTGATTCTAACTTTTCTTCCCCTTTTCCCCCATGTAATGTTATCGACTTGTTGAAGAAATCAGGCCAGTACTTTCGAAAGTCTCGTTTTCATGGTGCTATTTAAACTTCACCAGGCTTCCAAAATAGAGCTGACTTAAGGATGCATCATAGCCACCACTGTGGGAGTCTCCTCCACTTTAGAAACCCTCCATTTCTATCCTTCTCTTTGCCTCCATTATCCAGGAGCAAATCCCCAGGGTACTGACACCCAAGGCTAAAGGCTCATCTATCCTGAGCTCTCTCATCTTTTGCTTGGAGGTCCATTTCCTGGCCTTGCAGTCAGCTCGTGTGAGCCTTCCAATAAAGCAGGGCCTGGACAGCTCTCCCTACAGCTGCCAGCAACAACCTCAGGAAGCCCCAGGTCCTTCACTTATGCTGCTGAGAAAGCCTTGGAACTTGGGGCTCAGGGGCTCCTTACCGGTAGCAGCAAACAGCAGCCATTTTTCAAAATGAAGTTAAAACCCACTCCTCCTAACTCAATACATCTCTTAAATTCATCCCAGAAAAACAAGCTGTTTTCCAAGTGAAGTTAAGATTCAGCAGCACCCCCCAAACCCTGTTACCCCGGGACTGATGATCTCCAGGCAGACACATCACACCAGTGGCTGCTCCTGCCAGCAAAAAAAAAAAAAGTTTCCATTGATTCGCTTGAAAAATGTAAAGGTTTGGGGCCGTAGTCTCTGCCACAAGGTCAATAGAGAATTGTCTTGCCTGAGGTGCCCCAGGAAATCAGCCAGGAAAAGCAACGATCTACTTTTCGTTTCTTAGGTAAGGGAGGGGGTGGGAAGCTGCAGCAGGGAGAGAATGGAGGAGGCGACAGTTCGGATAGCTGTGTGTTTAGATCAGAGGCCTTGGGCTAAGGTCAGCAAGAAAACATGAACGTTCCAGGCACAAAGAGGAGTGGAGTTACGACACCAGGGGTGTGGGCTGGACAGTTTCCTCCAGCTTGACATGAATGTCTAGCTGTTGACTTTGGCTCACTGGATTTCTTTTTTTTTTTTTCTTTTGAGACAGAGTCTTGTTCTGTTTCCCAGGCTGGAGCGCAGTGGCTCGATCTCAGCGGCTCAATCTCAGCTCACTGCAACCTCCTCCTCCTGAGTTCAAGCGATTCTCTTACCTCAGTCTCCCGAGTAGCTGGGATTACAGATGTGCACCGCCATATCCAGCTAATTTTTGTATTTTAGGTAGAGATGGGATTTCACCATGTTGGCCAGGCTGGTTTCAAACTCCTGGCCTCAAGTGCTCAGACTCCCAAGTGCTGGGATGATAGGTATGAACCACTGCACCTGGCCTGGATTTCTATTTGGGTCTATTTATTTATTTATTTATTTATTTGAAACAGGGTCTCACTCTATTGCTCAGGCTGGAGTGCAGTGGCACGATCTTGGCTCACTGCAACCTCTGCCTCCCAGCTTCAAGCAATTCTCCGCCTCAGCCTCCCAAGTAGCTGGGATTACAACCACTTGCCACCATGGCCAGCTAATTGTATTTTAGTAGAGACAGAGTTTCACCATGTTGGTCAGGCTGGGTGTCTATAATAATTTTTACAAGAAAAAACTCTCCAAGAGCTATTTGTCTATGGGTGGAGTAGATCACATTTTATTCTTCCTGAACATGGTAAAATGCTTCACAGGCAATTAAGGATGGAGAAGAGAGAATTTATACTTTTAGCTAAATTCTCAATGTATGGATCAGTTAAACCATTCCATTTTCTGGCTCTTCCTTTTAATTAATTCTGTTTCTTGTTTTTCCTCTCTGTCTGTGGCAAGGCTCCTCTTTTTGTTCCCCACACTCTATTTTCCTACTTTTATTTCAGTGGCTGGCAAAATTAGAGCGTTATTTGATTTTGAAAGAGTCATTGCAGAAGCTTAGGCAATCTTTTTCTCTAGAGCGTTGAATAAGGTGGGTCTGAGCCTGTCCTTTTTGCAGCAGCTTAGAGAGGGTGTGTGTGCATGTGTGTGTGAGTAGAGGAGGGGGTAAGGGGTCAGGTGACCTCCCAAGGCACCCTCTCCTTGTGGGACACAAAAACCCAATCCCCAGAGGGAGGGCAGAAGGCCAGGAGTGGGAGAAGTTTCTCTGTTTGCTCCTTAAGATCTGGTGGTTGGGGCATTTTGGCAAACAGCTTGGCCACTACTTTATTATATGGTTAGTTTGGAAAGCAGATTGCTGAGAATGGCAATGAAAGACAGAACTTACACTTTTTTTTTTTTTTAAGAGATGAGGTTTTGCAGTGTTGCCCAGGCTGGAGAGCAGTGGTTACTCACAGGTACAATCATAGCATGCTACAGCCTTGAACTCCTGGACTCAAGCAATCCTTCCACCTCAGCCTCCTGGGTAGCTGGACTACAGGCACGCCCCACCTTGCCTGGCTCAGACCCTATGCTCTTGAAAACTGCTTTTAAGTGGAGGCCCTCTGAATGTACATTCTGGGATAGGGTCTCGGTCACCTGCACATATAGCAGTAGGTACGGCCTTTGGAGTCTTCTGAGAGGAGTGAAAATTCCCCTCCCTGGGGAAAGCCACAGTGGAAAAGGAGCCAGGGAGTCTGTGAAAACAGCTTTAGGCTTCTGCGAGTATATTATGAAGCTCGCTAAGTAACGGAATCATAACTTGTGCTTTATAGCTCATTACTGCTCTATTGAAGTCAATGAATACTGAAAGAATTACAAAACAAACATAGAATTGACAAAGTGAGAGAGAAAGCAGGGCAACTAGTTGGCATCTTCAAGTTCTGGATAACCTGCAGGGTGGGCTTCAGGAAACTGACTGTGAGAGTCTAAGAGTAGATGGTGCCGGGTCTCTCTGGACTTCTATCTTTAGGTTCTTTTCCTCTTTTCCTTTACCTCTGCTTCTCTGAGGTCAGCACTCACTTCAATCATCCTGTCCCAGGGCCACCAGATCTCCTTGAGCTTCAGAAAACACTCCTCTCACTGTCCTTCCCCAACGTTTCAATGAATGAAGACTCACTGAGCACACAGCGATCAAATCTGTGATCCAGGTGGCACTCGGAATTCAGCAGTAGCAGTGGTGGTTCCCACAGTGCTCACTGGACCTTGGCCAAGACGCCACCTGGAACCACAGCTGATAGCTGAGAGTTAAGACCTACCTATTGAAGGAAGGAAAGAGAACAACTTCATGACAAGTTTTGTTTTTACTCCTAAGCAAAACCGCAATCAGAGATAACTGCAATTGTCAAGTTGGCACATACGCTTTTTTTTTTTTTTTTTTTTTAAATCAGGGGATTTTTTTCTTTTACTTTATAAGACAAAATTAAAAGCCACTAGACAGGAACTCACTCAAATTCTTGTCACAAACGTACCTGCAGAGGAATTCATTATTTCCTCCTTCCCGTCCATCATAAAGACACGTCTCATTGACAAAGCCAGTTCCGAGGCTCTAAATCTCTCCTGCAGCCTCACTGACTTTGCTGCATTGCAAGTTCCTTCTCTCTCCTGGTGTTTCACTTCCTGCTGATTCATTGCCATCAGCATTTAAACAAGACCAAATGTCCTCTATCCTTAAAATCTTATGCTCCCTAGCTACCCCCACCCCTTTAATTCACTTCTTTATCTGACTTGTTTTGGTTACAGTTAAGTGTGTTGAAACAGGTGTCCACACTCACCACCACTTCCCTGCCCTCCAGCCTGAAACTCTCTGTGAAATCTGGCTGCTGCCGCCATATTCCTCTGACACTGGTCCAGCCAAGATCACTAACAACCTTGTTGTTCAATTTTAAGGCTGCTTTCCCAGCATTATCCGACTTGAACCCTAAGTAGCTGATACTGGTGACCATGGCCTTCTTGAAACTGTCTTCTTGCTGGGTGAGGTGGCTCATGCCTGTAGTCTCAACCCTTTGGGAGGCTGTGGTGGGTAGATTGCTTGGGCTCAGGGATTCAAGACCAGCCTGGGCAACATGGCAAAACCCTGTCTCTACAAATAATAATAATAATAAAAAATTGATAAAAATTAGTCAGACATGACGGCATGCACCAGTAGTCCCAGCTACTCGGAAGGCTGAGGTGGGAGGATCACCTGAGCCCAGGAGGCCAAGGCTGCAGTGAGCCGTGATTGTGCCACTGCACTCCAGCCTGGCAGCCTGGGTGACAGAGTGAGGGCCTGTCTCAAAAAACAAACAAAACAAAATAAAAGAAAACTGTCTTTCTTGGTTTGGTGACATCTATCTTTTTACCACAACTTCTTAGAATCCTTTGTGGGTTATTTTTCTGTTAATACGTTCATTGTAGAATCTTTGGAAAATTAAAAAAAAAAAATCAATAGTCTACATGTTATACCCACATAGAAGTCTTTTTTTTTTTTTTTTTGAGTCAGGGTCTTACTCTGTCACCCACGCTGGAGTGCAGTGGCATGATCATGGTTCACACTGCAGCCTCAGCCTCCCAGGCCCAGGTGATCCTCCCACCTCAGCTTCCTGAGTAGCTAGGACTGCAGGCATGTGCCACCATGCCCAGCTAATTTTTTTTTTTTTGTAGAGACAGTGTTTTCCCATGTTGCCCAGGCTGGTATTGAACTTCTAGGCTGAAGTGATCCACCTACTTTGGCCTCCCGAAGTGCTGGGATTACAGGCGTGAGCCACCATGCCGGCCCGCACATGGCAGTCTTAGCAGCATTTAGAGCTCATCATTTCCATTCCCAAGACTGCTCACCAACTATGGTCTCTTTCTCAGTGAATGGCTCCATCCTTTCTCCAGTTGCTCAAACTAGAGTTCTGATGTTATCGTTGACTCTTCCCTCTGCCATATTTCTCATGCCCAGTCAATCAAGACCCATTAATTTTATCTCTTGAATGTCTCCAAATCCATTTATAGTTGACCCCAGAACAACACAGATTTGAACTGTGGGGATCACTTTTACGTGGATGTTCTTCAACCAAACGCAGAATGAAAATACATTATTTGCAGGATGTGAAACTCACTCACATAGAGGGCATATACTCAGGTTCTACAGAACTTGAGAATGGATAGACTTTGGTATGGGATTGGGGAGTTCTGGAAACAATTCCCCACGTATATGGAAGGTATGGAAGGACAACAGTACTTTCTATTCTTTTTCTTTTTTCTTTCTTTTTTTGAGATGGAGTCTTTATTGTCACCCAGGCTGGAGTGCCGTGGTGCGATCTCGGCTCACTGCAACCTCCTCCTCCCAGGTTCAAGCGATTCTCCTGTCTCAGCTTCCTGGGTAGCTGGGACTATAGGTGTGCACCACCATGCCCAGCTAAGTTTTGTATTTTTAGCAGAGATGGGGTTTCACCATGTTGGCCAGGCTGGTCTCGAACTCCTGACCTCAGGTGATCCGCCCACCTCGACCTCCCAAAGTGTTGGGATTACAGGCTTGAGCCACTGCGCCTGGCCTGTACTTTCTATTCTTATTGCTTCCGTGCTAGTCTGAGTTCCTCTCTTTCTCGCCAAGTCAATTCAACAATCTCCTAACTAGCCTTCCTGACTCCATTTTTTTGCCCCATTCCTTTCCATTCTTCATACTACAGCCAGCCTCCTCTGTAAACAGTCACATCTGAGTGTGTCACCCACCACCCCTCTATGACATAAACCCTTTGACAGAGGGTAATCCTAAGGACAAAGTCTACATTTTTCAATGTGACCTTCAAGGATCTGCATTTTGTGTTATTTGCTTGCCTTTCTGGCCGTTTTTCCATCACCCCCACCCCTGCCTCTTTCAGTCACACTGAGCTCATTGTACTATTCTAAACAACCCTTCTCATCTCTGAGGTTTTTATGCGTAGTTCTTAAAATGTTTCTCTTTTCCCCTTCCAGGCTAACTGAAACTCATTTGTTGGATTTCACGTTAGAGATATGAATCTTTCTTAAAGCCTTTCCTGATTTTTAGGTGCTCCCAAGGGCCAACAGAGCACCCCCACCAAAAGTCTTATCATGCTTTATTGTCAATGCCTGTTTGCTAAGGATTGTAAGCCCCTCAGGGAAAGGAACATGTCTGGTTGATAGAATCATTTCCCACACCTTGCACAGTGTTCAGCGTAAATAGACAAATAGTTATCGAATAGATGATTGTGAGTCCAACCACTGCTTCTGGGGAAAAAGTGGTTCAATGACATGGTCTGTCCTGAAATATTAAATTTTTTATCCTCACATTCTTTCTTTTTTTGAGACTGGGTCTCGCTCTGTTGCCCAGGCTGGAGTGCAGTAGTGTGATCTTGGTTCACTGCAACCTCTGCCTACTGGGTTCAAGTGATTCTCTTGCTTCAGCCTCCTGAATAGCTGGGACTACTACAGGCATGAGCCACCACCCCTGGCTAATTTTTGTATTTTTAGTAGAGACAGGGTTTCGCCATGTGGGAGGGGCTGCTCTTGAACTCCCGACCTCGAGTGATCCACCCACCTTTGCCTCCCAAAGTGCTGGGATCACAGGTGTGAGCCTCCAGGCCCAGCCCCCTCACTTTTCATCATACAGAATATTCATAGAGCACTTTATTGGGGGCCATGCTGTTTTCCACGGATAGAGAAAGAAGCCAGACCACTTTCTTGTTTCTTCTACTGAAATGGTATTTAAATAAGGTCAGTTTCATTTGTTTCCTCCTTTTTCTGCAGTGGTGATTAAAACTGAAATCACTGGCCAGGCACGGTGTCTCACGCCTATAATCCCAGCACTTAGGGAGGCCGAGGCGGGTGGATCACGAGGTCAAGAGATCGAGACCATCATGGTCAACATGGTGAAAGCCTGTCTCTACTAAAAATACAAAAAATTAACTGGGCATGGTGGCGCGCGCCTATAGTCCCAACTACTCAGGAGGCTGAGGCAGGAGAATTGCTTGAATCCAGGAGGCGGAGGCTGTAGTGAGCCCAGATAGCACCATTGCACTACAGCCAGGGTAACAAGGACGAAACTCCATCTCAAAAACAAAAACAAAAAAAACCTGAAATCACTTTTCTAGGGATTGGTACATAAAAGCCCCAAGGACTAATCCCTGACATTAAGCAACACTGACATCAGGGTGATAGGTTTCCTGGCTATCCTTGATATATGTTGACAATATGCATCTAGCCCTGCATTAGGTGCCTGGAAATGTTAATGCCAAATTAGCATCACTTAACAATGGTACTTGTTTAGGGATTGTTTTTAAAATTGTTGAGCTGGTCACTTTTTCCGATCTCTAGTAATTAAATGAATAATAAACTATTCTTTTGGTTTGCTTATGGGAATGCAATTGCTAGTATGTACTGGGTAAAAGGAGGTCATTGTGGGGCACAGTGAAGTCATTATTTATGAGTTAGTGGAATTTTCAATGGTTTCCTGGAGCAAATAGATGTTTAGATGTCTGATATTTCGAGCGCATCTGGCAGAGGCTATAAATAATTGGATCTTACACACCTGACATTTGTGGTTGCCATCCAGGGCGCCGTTTACCACACTTATCATAGAACACTATGCAGAGACCTAGCGGGGGCAGCCAGGCTCCCTGAATTAAGTCACTCCATTTCCATCTTCAGAGAGAGGAAACTGTACCATGCAAAGCTTCTTAATTAAACCACCATTCAGACCAAGGAGAAAGGTGTCAATAGGGTCAGTGCTATAGTCAGGATCTGAACTGAAAGCTGAACAAACAAAATTAATATCCTGAGCCAAACCAAAATATTGTTTTTATTTGGTTTTATTTTACTAGATCTCAGTTACTTTTTATTATTATTTTTTTCTTTTGAGACAGAATCTTGCTCTGTGGCCAGGCGCCAGGCTGGTGTGCAGTGGCGCAATCTCAGCTCACTGCAAACTCCGCCTCCCGGGTTCAAGCAATTCTCCTGCCTCAGCCTCCCGAGTAGCTGGGACCACAGGTGTGCGCCACCATGCCGAGCCAGTTTTTGTATTTTTTAGTAGAGACGGGGTTTCACCATGGTCTTGATCTCTTGACCTCGTGATCCACCCGCCTCGGCCTCCCAAAGTGCTGGGATTACAGGTGTGAGCCACCATGCCCGGCCTACTTTTTATTCTTAAACTCAAAAACTCATTCAGTGGAATCATGTAAACTCAAAATTGGATCGTCAAACTTATTCTTTTCCTTAGAAATGTTTGAATTGGAATAAAATTGAAATATTCAAATGTTCTTAAATGGAGCCTGAAGAGTTGTTTTATGTGAAATCTTGGTTATAACTGAAGACAAATGACCCTTTAGAAATTTAAATTTCTCTAGGGTCTGCTGCTTACCTGTTTGTGAGTATTATCAAGAGAGATGTCAAAAGTCTCTTCATCCTAAACTGAGATGCCAGAGTTCCCAGGCAGGACCTGCTAGGAGGTATGAACAAGTTAGCCCATTATCCCCTCTAGGCTTCAAATCAACTGGTTGTTTTGAAGTTGAAAAGTTGATGGAGAGAACTTTCCCTGGGGAAAGCTGGACTGCTGGGGCCTTTACCTCTGGTTCTCCAGAGACGTTTCAAGTCCTCCCCCTGCCCCGACTTCCCGCCCACCACCAACTTCAGCCACAGGGAAGGTTTCTAAGACATTACTGTCAGGAGAAACTCACCTGTGAGTAAAGAAGGTGTCTCAGGAACAGGCTGCAAGAGTGCGTATTTCCTACACACCTAATAGGAACCAGTATCATCTTAAAATGAATCTTGCCCAAGAAAACTTCCAGAACAGAGAATGGGCCCCAGAAGAAGCATGAATAGTCAGAATCTAGGGACTAATGGGAGATGCAAGCTGCCAGCCGCAGAAGAGGACTTGCTGCCAGCTCGGGTGATTGAGTGAGACTGAAGTGGAAATTTTGCCCGGGATTTTGTCAGCACGTTGTCAGCCATCCTCCCTATTTTTAAAACTTACCCTAGTTTTGTTAGTAACTGCCTCTTTCTCCTTCTGTTCTTTGCCTATTGCTTACTAACTGGAAAACCTTAAGAGAAACTGCCTCGTTGTCTAAAACCTGCTGCGTTGTCTAAAGTCCTGAGCTGCTTCCCTTGCCCTTTCACTTATAAAAACTGTGGACTTTTCTTAGCCAGGGTCCAGACTTTAGGTGTGAACCCTTCTGGGCCCGCTGGCGTAATAAAGTGTGTTCCTCTGATCCTCTGAGCGCCATTTGGGTACCTTGTTAGGAAAGATTTTCCAG